AATTCTTTCCAAACTCACCTCAGGAATACAGTACATCTATGAGTAAAGCTGTTGAATTAAGACTATTAAGAGGTTTAGTGTGGCTGTTGGAAAGGTTACGATGGGGTTATCTGTTTGTCCTGTGGAGCTTTGTCTGTTTTGTATGTGAGTTTGTCAGAATTGTTCAGATGGGAAGATGAATGTCAAGTTCAGTCTTGTATCTCATAATCTTGTGTTCTCAGATGTCTCAGTTTCTGTACCTTGCTGGTCAGATTCTTGGTTTTACACAGGTGTCCAGACTCCTAAAGCCTGATTCTGTTGTTAACTGCTGATCTGTGAGAATGAGAATTATTTGTGGGGGTCTTCCAGCCTGCTAGAAAAATAAGTTCTTTCAAAACTTGAGTTGTGTTTCTTCTTCTAGTAGCTAATTAACTTAATGAGCATAATTGTATAAAAATGTACTTTATCAGCAGTAAGAATTCAAAGGATAAAATTAATAAAAGTGAAAAAAAAAAAAAAGTAAGTCAAATTAACACAGTTTTGGATTCCCTGGTCATTCCAGTGACTATTTTAGCACTTAGAGATGGCATGAAAACTGTGAAAAATTCTCATCACAAATGTTACGTTGTCTTCAAATACCTAATAAGTATCAAGTCTGCACTGAGCTATCGTTGTGTATAACACTAATACTGCTTGTGATACAGGTTCAGCTTTGCAGTCTGTTATTGAAACGAACTATTTCTAATTAAACTTTTAGTAGAATTACTTTTCTTTACAAATACTCTTCCAATACATTAAGTGAAATATGGACTTGCAAGCAAATATATAGGAAGCTTTATAAAAGAGACTGTATGTGAGTATGTGTGTATATGTGTGTATACATGCATATATTTTTATGTACGCATGTATATATATTATACCAGTTCTCCACTCTCCCTAGGTTTTAGTTTCTCCAAGAGAAACTTTTCTGCTTTAGTATCAAATATTTGTAATTTTTCTAATTGTGGTCCCTGAACATGAACCATGAATCAGTAGTGTACCACCTTCTATTTACAGGTGATCTTTTCTATGCAGTCTGATGCTTTGGTCCTGTGAGTAAAAGAAAAATGTTGGTCATGGGCTCCTGTATTGAAATATACTCACACACCAGAAGCTATTGTTGTAGCTGTGTTTGACACTTAAAATGAATAGTTTCGTTTGGTTTGTGGATTTTGGTGGGTTTTGTTGTTGTTTTTTTCCTTTTTAAGTCTTTGTTTTGGTAGGATCATGGCTTCTGTTCCTCGTAAACGCACACTTCCTGATGTAGCAGTGGTTGGCTTCACAGTACTGAAAAACAGACAGATACACACCACATTTCTGACTTCAGAAAAAATAAAATGTTTATCTTTTTGATCTAGGAGAATTCAAGAGAGTATCAGCTGTGTGTTCTTTCTAATACAGGTTTTTCTTAATGCATCATTTTTCCTTGAGCAAAATTCTTTCCAAAAGACAGCTGAAAGACAAAGAGACTGTTTTAATTGAAAAGGTGCTTTAGCACTTCTTTTCAAATAAGCTGCCCTTTAAGATACCCTTTCCTATTTTTTGCTTGTATTGAAAGGTGGTGATGTGGTTATCATTCATAACCAGGAATTATTATGACATATCTTGCTTGTATTTACATCATTGGGTTTGGTATTTACTGTATTTCTAAAGTGTAAACTTAATTTTTTTTTTCCAAGCAATAAGGGCACTTATTGCAGGCAAATAAAGTAAACCAAATATTGTAGACATTTCACAGTACTTTTGAAATGGTTTGGAGCAATTAATTTGTTGTAACATTCTTGCTGATAGATGAATTGATGAATGGCTTTTGTTATAGTAAAGGAGAGAACTGCTTTAAATCTTTACTTCACTTGTAGGTTAAAAGGTTGTCTTCCTTCTCCCTGAGTTTTTTTTAGTAACTTTCCAATTTGCCACAATTAATGAAATTCTTATTTTGACTTTGTAGTGGTCAGGATAATCACATAATGGCTGAGGTTGGAAGGGACCTCTTGATATTATCTAATAAAAGTCCTGTTCAACAGGGTCAGCTAGAACAGGTTGTGCATAAGTATGTCCAGTCAAGTCTTGAATATCTCCATAGGTAGAGCCTCCACAGCCTCTCTGGGCAGCCTCTTTCAATGTTTGACCATTATCACAGTAAAAGGTGTTTTCTTGTGCCCAGATGGACTTCCGTGTATTTTGATTTGTGCCTGTTGCCTCTGTCCTGTCACTGGGCACTGCCAGGAAAAGTCTGGCTCCATCTTCACTCTCTTCCATCAAGTATTTATATGCATTCATAAGGTCCCCACAGAAACTTATCTTCTCTAAGCTGACCAGTCCCAGCTCTTTCAGCCTCTGCTCATATGAAAAATGCTCCAGTCCCACTATCAGCTTCACAGACCTTTATTGGACTTGCTCCAGTACGTCTATGTCTTTCTTGCTCTGGGGAGGTGACAACTGGACCCAGTAGTCCAGATGGGGCCTCATCAGTGCCGAGTAGAGGGGAAGAGTCATCTCCCTTCACCTGTTTTCAACACTTCTCTTAATGCAGCCTGGGTTAGTTATTGGCCCTCTTTACTGTGAGGGCGCATTGCTGGTTCATGTTCAACTTGCTGTCATCACACAAGACCCCAAAGTCCTTCTCTGCTGAGCTGCTTTCCAGCTACTTAGGTTGCAATAGGCTTTTCGTGGCTGGGACGGGCGTGTTCTTTGCTGGGTAAAAACCTAACTGGATGGCTGGGCCCAAAGAGTGGTGGGGAATGGAGTTAAATCTGGTTGGCGGTGGGTCACAAGTGGTATTCTGCATGGCTCAGTACTGGGCCAATTCTCTTTAATATCTTTATTGAAGGTCTGGATGAGGGGATCGAGTGCACCCTAAGTCAGTTTGCAGATGACAGCAAGTTGGGCAGGAGTCTTGATTTGCTTGAGGGTAGGAAGGATCTACAGAGGAATCTGGACAGGCTAGGTCGATGGGCTGAGGCCAGCTTTATGAGATTCAGCAAGGCTAAATGCCAGGTCCTGCACTTGGATAACAGCAACTCCACGCAAGGCTACAGGCTTGGGGAGTGTCTGGAAAGCTGTCCAGCAGAAAATGACCTGGGGGTATTGGGCAGCAGCCAGCTGAATATGAGCCAGCAGTCTGCCCAGGTGGCTAAGAAGGCCAACAGCATCCTGGTTTGTATCAGAAATAGCGTGGCCAGCAGGACTAGGGAGGTGGGTGTCCCACTGTACTCTGCAGTGGTGAGGCCATACCTTGGATACCGTGTTCAGTTTTGGGCCCCTTACTACAAGAAAGACATTGAGATTCTGGAGCATATCCAAAGAAGAGCAATGAAGCTGGTGAAGGGTCTAGAGCGCATGTCTTACAAGGACTGTCTGAGGGAACTGGGTTGCTTAGTCTGGAGAAAATGAGGCTGAGGGGAGACCTTATTGCTCTCTACAACTACCTGAAAGGAGGCTGTAGCAAGGTGGGTGTTGGTCTCTTTTCCCGGAGTGACAGACAAAAGGAAACAGCCTCAAGTTGCATCAGGGGGGGTTTAGATTGGATATCAGGAAAAATTTCTTCAATGGAAGGGTTGTCAGGCTGCCCAGGGAAGTGGCTGTGTCACATGGAGGTATTTAAAAGATGTGTAGATGTGGAGCTTTTTAGTGATGGATTTGGCAGTGATAGGTTAACAGTTGGACTTCATCATCATAAGGGTCTTTTCCAATCTAAGTGATTCTATGATTCTAATTTTCCAGCATTACCAGATCCCTCTGAATGGCAGCACAGCTATCTGTCATATCACCCACTCCGTCCAGTTTGGTATCAGTAGAGGGAGTGATCCTGGCTTTGTCTAGCCAAGGCTCTGTAAACTCCAAGGACTGGAGACACCTCCCACAACCTACCTGGTGACCTATCCTAGGGCTACACTACACACCAGGGCAAAAAGATTTCCACAATGTCCCACTTGTATCTCTCAAGCTGCATCTTGTATCTGTTTCTCCTTATTGCATTTTCTGACACTGCCCCAGAAGGGTTTGGCTCTGATTGCCATTCAGGCAGCTGTGAGCTGCTATTACATCCTCCTTGGCCTTTCCCACATCAGACTAACCAAAACTATCTCTCATTATCACAGGCCTCAGGATGCTGCTATCTTGGTAGCTCTGCATTGTCTCCTTTCTAGTTTTATGAACTAGCTCGCTCCTTGCACGCTCCTTGAAGGGAGTGTGCAGACTGGATACAGTAGAACCCATCTGTTGGTGGTTGTAGGCTCCTTGGGGCCAAGGATGAAGGCACAACAGCTTGCCTCTGAATTTGCTAGCTGTGCTACTTCTAACAAAGCCCAGTTTTGGGGTTGCTGCATTCAGGAGGGCAGTACACCGTTCCTTTCTGTGAAGCTTCAATATGTTTATTTTTTTATAAGGTCAGTGTTAATTTAAAGAAATACATCTTCCTTAATACAATGTAATCTGGGCTTTAGTTACCAATGCTTTTGTTTAGTGTTCTTACTCTAGTCTTAACTCATTTTCTACTGATACTCTGTAGAGGTAACTGCAGAGAATTTTTTTATCAGTATATTAAATTATACTGTGGGTTCTCCTTTTTGTGATCTTTGTATCTTCAAATTGCACTTCTGAATGATCTTCTCTTGAAGCGTTAACTGCATACACAAATTTCAGCATTCTTAGGGATTTATGTACAGTTGCTTGTAAGCATGCTTTACACAGGCTGACAGAGGTTGAGTGTTTCCTGTAATCTGGCTCTGTGCAAGCTGGGGGAATGTTGTTGGAGGCATGAGACATGAGACTGTGCTGTGGTTGTTAGCTGGAGCAAACTTTTGGTTCCAGCCAGTTACCAAATGTAGAGGTAGAATTTAGAAGTCTAGTATAAGCTTGCCATTTGTATAATTATGTGGCTATTAAGGAATAGATGGAAGTTGAATGCTCTAAAATTATTGACTGTAATGATAAGGCATGGTTAGTTATGATGCTGATGCAATTTTCTTTCTTGCCAACAGAGTTTCAGAAGCAGGAAGGTATAAAGTCCCATCAGAAAAACATGCAGCTCTATGACACACCCTATGAACCAGAAGGCAGTGTTATGGAATCCAATTCTGAAAGTGTGGTGAGTCATCATTTACGAGAAAACAAATTGCCACAGGATGATGACAGGCCTTCAGATGAGTATGATCAGCCATGGGAGTGGAACAGAGTCACCATTCCAGCTCTGGCAGGTACGATTCCTAGATCCCAACCAGGAATTTCTCTATCACGCTCATAGCATATGTACTTGCCTTAGGAAGAAATCAAGTATTTCTGCTCATTTGGGGTGTGTGTGTGGGAAGAAATCCCTGAAAACTATATATGGGTGGTCTCAAATCTTTACCTGCTGCAGAAGCGTGGAACATTGCACTCTTTGTTTGGTGCTTCAGCTGACTGTTGTCAACCATCTCAGCGCTTGGTTCACATTAGTAAAACTTCTGTTTCTCCCACTCCTTGCCCCTACCCCCATTTTAATGGACATGATGTAGATAGCGGTTATTGTTGAGTGGCTCTATGATGAGGCGGTTGCTTTGCAAGGTCCTTAAATTGTGGGACAGGACAAAAAATAGCTGTGTAATGTGCATGCTGTAACGTGCCTCTACTCAGTAATAAGTTTCTTGGTATTTGGAGTATTTTCATTTTAATTGCAGGCATTTCTATGGGTATGTAGAACTTGGTTTTGGATTAATCCTTTTGAACTGCTGAAGTTCTCCCACATCAGAACTTGTCAGTCAGGAAGATCTTCCAAAAACTGTTTTCTGTCTCTCTGAATGTCTGTGCTTGGTATTGGTTACACTGCTCCTTTTTTTCTTCCTTTGTGTTGCTTTGTGGAAATGTCTGAGGGGGCCTTCCTTCAGTGAGGATGTGATTCTAAAGGCCAAGGCTTTTTCTTTCATAGGATGTCTCTGTGCCCAGCAAAGCCCAGCTGTACCAGTTGGTCTGACCATGTACCATGATGCTCTTGTGGGGTGCTAGAGTCATACATGCTCTATGATATTCCCTTCAGTAGTAAAATTCTAGTGAAAAGCTGTGTCTAGATTCAGGGTTGTTCCCCTTCCTTTTTAGGAGTCAGCTTGGCAGAAAGCTTGGAAAGTAGATCTATATATGGTGATGATTGTGGGGATGAGAAGGGAAGAAAAGAGATGTGGTTCTGGGAGGGAGCATGGAAGAAGCCTGAGAGCAATGATTAGTAATCAGTGTGCATTTACCCTGGGTAAATCCTGCTTGACAAACCTGTTTTCTTTCTGCATTGAAATTACTAGATCTGTTAATGGAAGGAGAGCAGTAGATGTTGTCTGTGTTGACTTTAGCCTTCAGCATGTTGTGCTGTGGCATCAGCTGTGTTACCTGGTTTGGAATGCTGTAGCCTAGATGGATGGACTACTAGATTTGTGAAAACCTGTCAGAGTCATTGACTTCAAAGGGTAATGCTAAGTGATTCTATTCTTCCTGAGTCTGGTTACAAGTGTGATTCCTCAGGATATCTGTTCTGGAACTCTTCCTGTTTAGCATCTTTGTCAGTAACCCAGAGGTGGAGGAGGGGAAATGCATCTCATCAAGTTTAAAATTATATCGAATGGGGGGGAGTGTGTGTGCAGAGCTGCCATTCAGAGAGACCTGGACAGACTGGAGAAATGAGTTGACATCAAGCTTACAAAACCCAACCAGGACAAACTCAAAGACCTGCATCTGGAGCTGACTAACCGCTTGCAATGATATGGACTGAGGACTGGTTGACTTGCTGGGTTACAAGCTTTGCTGGAAAGGAGTCCTGGGGGAAAGTGGACTAAACATGGCTAGCAGTGCTTTTCTCCAGCAGTGATGAAGGGTAGCATCATCTTGGCCCGTGTTACCAGGAGCATAGCCAGTAGATCAAGTAAAGTGACTGTTCCTGTTTACTTCACATTTCTTGGACAACATCTGTACTGCTGTGTCCAGTATTCTGATGCAAGAAAGATATTGATAATTGTTGATGTCAGCAGAGAGCCACCAAAATGCCAGGAAAATGGAGCACATGACTTGTGAGGAGACACTGAGAGAAGTGAGCTTGCTTAGCCTGGAGAAGAGAAAGCTTTGGGGAGATGTAATAGCAGCTCTCCAATGCCTATGAGATCTTCAAGAAGATGGAGCAAGGTTCTTCACAAATGAGCAGGTGTGTGATGGGAAGATGAGACATAAGTTGAATCAGGAGAGGTTCTGACTCAATATGGGGATATTTTTTTTCTCTGCAAGGACAGTCAGGCATTGGAACTAATTGTCCTGGGAGCTCTTCCAGTCTCCATCTTGATATTTTTTCATCCTATGTGAAGGGATGACTGGATATCAGGTTCTGAACAACCTGATCAGATCACATAGCAGACCCTGCCTTGAGCAGGTTGGACTAGACACCACCCACGGTCCCTTTCCACCTGAATTCTATGATTTTGCAATTCTGTTTGTCATGATATTGCCACACTACAGAAATGAGAAGTGACTTCTCTCCACAGCTATACAGGGCTACAGTTCTGTAAACAGAGCCTGTTGTGACAATACCCTTCTTGGGTGTTTCTGACCTGATCCGCTAATAGGTAGGTGGACATGGCTGGCAGAAATGTGTTTCTCTTCTAGCACAGTGGAGTAGAGCAGTGGCAATCTGTTGTGAAAGTGATTCTACCTCTCTGCTTCATTTGTTCTTACATCTTCAGGTTGTGGTTGGTTTGGGTTCGTTTCCAAGGGAGCAAGAGATGCATAGATGAACCTGAAGCAGCTGCTTAAAAAGAAACCTCTTGCTCCGCATTGCCTTTCCTTTTGTTGGGCTCCTATGGAACAGAAAAGGAGGTTAGAGAAAACTGCTTTCTACTTCCTAGAAGCATGGTTTGCTTTGGCATGTGAGCTGTTAATAACATTGCAGAGTTCTAGGCTCAGTCACTTTTTCATTAAGCATATGCTGATAGTTCTTTCAAGCTTGGATCTAAACCGGCATCCAGTTCTGCTGGATGCTGTGCAGGTAAAGTAATTTCTTTC